ATTAAGCAAGAAATTTCAACCACTAAATCATGGAGCAGCAATATGTAGACAATTTGGCTTATTTTCTTTTCAGAATTAAAAGTTCTACCGGGAAAAAAAGCATCTTGAAAAGTTTCAATCCTTCAATTAGCATCATGCAGGCAGGCTTCTGCATGAACAGATCTCATTGCTAGTTTGGGGACTGACACTCCTGATCTGCAAACACTTTAACTTAACTTGACCATTATGAGTAGGCTTACTGAAACTAGTGGTTGTTTCCATGACAGTAAAGTACATGTCGATGTGTATAAAGGATCACATTTCAGCTTTTGAATTTCAAGACAAGTGAATGACTTCAGATGTATTCTATAAATAACCAAACAAAATGTTTAAAACTAGTTTCCTACCTTCACCATTTTTCTGAAGTGTTTTCTGCTCAGATATCCTCTCCACCACCTTTGTATAACAATTGCCATTTGGTTCAGATATCTAAAATGAAATACATTACCAAAATAATGATTACTTTGAGACATTACAAAACAACTTTATTTTTTCCAATCTTAAAGTATTAAGTATTATCCATACATATTCCAAACAGATGGCCACTGCAAACATACTCCATACATATACACATATGTGCACACATACACACTTATAAACCAATTTATACATATATTTACTCATGTACACATATATAAATATGTGCGCTTTTGGAAAAAATGGGTTACTGAAAACTTCTATCTATGTACTGTTTCAGTTATCATTACAAAAATTGAATGAAATAGCTCTAGAAATGTAATTTGCATGGTAGATGATGGTATTTTCATTGATGGTTTAAACTAACACATCTGGCCAGTTCAGAATTTTTATCAGTCACATGCAATATTTTCACAGCTTTCAAATTTTTAAAGATTTGACAAATCCCACAAATATCTGGAATTTTTCAAATAATTTTTTTCTTTTAGAAAATTATATCTAGCTAATTCTAAGTAAATCCTTACTCTGTCCTTATATATACAAGCTTTATTATAGAATCATAGAATTATGCAACTAAAAATTCCGTAACTGATGTCTCACATCAATTTCACAGAAACTAATACAATCATTACTTTGGGACTGGCTAGAAAAAGCTATATAGGGGACTATTTGTACCACCTAACCAGGGCCAAATTTAGAACCCTTGCAATACCGCTAGAGTCACGCGGTGGAGGGAGTTTTTTTCCAGCAGGTAATTCAAATGAAAGACTAATTCAGAACACACAACTGGCTATATCGAGCCTGTGCTCCTAAATCAGACACCACACCCAAGTTTGGAAAGAGGACATTGAGCAGGATTACTCTACAAAGTTGCAGGGAAAATCCTCTTCTACACTTAGCTGATCTAGTTCTTATGCATTCATTACAATTATGTTGTTCTTACAGTGGTCATTACTAACTACAAACGTGCATTTGGAAGAGCACTTTCCTACAGAATGGATTGGCAAAGACACTTGGGGTTTCACTTTCTTCTGCAGCATGCTGTTGTTACTCATGTGCTGGAAACAGAGGGGCACTAACCAATCCTCTGTCTTTGCAAGGACTTTTGACACTGATGGCATAACTGATATTCCTTGGAGGGCTGAAATACCATGTTTGTTTGCCTGCTGAGCGCTTGCGTGTGATGGTTGTATCCCGTGATACCACACTTGAACCAGCACTGGAAAACAAATTATCAGTGCTTTTTTAAACAACAGCACACAATGGCTGTAGCCTTTCTTTTTGTGAGGGAATATCTGCCATGAAGTGATTAATGTTACTCAACCTAATAATTCTTTAGGCTTCATACAGTATGCTTGGATGACACATAATGACTTGCAAAGGGAAGAGGTCAAACTAGAAGATGCAGCAAACCCTCCCCCTCACAGCCCCAATTTTTATGCAGATACAGAAATTTGAGCACATGAGTTAGACTAGGTGGGCTTATGATAAAAAAAAAAATGGAGAATGGCCTCCTGGGAAAAGAGACCAACCATAGTGTTCCAAAAAAAATTATATCAATGTCAATAATAATACTGTGAGGAATTCTGTCAAAAAACAAAAAATCAAGATTGAAGTATAGATTAAGACAGACTTAATATACTACCTCAGATAGGATCGGACTCTGCATCCTTGAAACCAGCTCTGGATTTTGACAGCAGCTTTGTACTCAATTTTTCTTTCTTCATCTAGAGATCTGAAAATAGAGAGTAGTAATATTTGTCAGCATGGTAATTTAGTACATGCAGGCTGAGAGAACTAGGGTGTTCAGCCTAGAGAAGAGAAGGCTCAGAAGTCATTATAACAGTCTTCCAATACATAAAGGGGGCCTACAAGAAATCTGGAGAGGGACTTGTTACAAGGACATGCAGTGACAGGACAAGAGAGAATGGTTTTAAACTGAAAGAGGGTAGATTTAGGTTAGATATTAGGAAGAAATTTTTCCCTATGAGGGTGGTGAGGGGCTGACACAGGGTGACCAGAGAAGCTGTGTCTGCCCCATCCCTGGCAGTGGTCAAGGCCAAGCTGGATGGGGCTTGGAGCAACATGGTCTAGTGGAAGGTGTCCCTGCCCATGGCAGGGGGTTGGAACTGGATGAACTTTTAAGGTCTCTTCCAACCCAAACCATTCTATGACTCAAAACACAAATGCTACAAAAATACTTCAGAGAAAGACCCGGGCAAATTTGACATGCATTAATGACCCAAAATTGTTTGTTCAGTCTACAAGTTAAATAGGGATCTACCAAGATCTCTAAACAGGTTATTCTGATTTGTTTCAGGACCTTCCTGGCAGCTGTGTTGAAGTAGTCTGAGATTCTCACCCTAGTGAACAAAGATCAAATTACTGATCAGCCTTTCAGCTGCTGAGCTGGACATTTTGAAGCCTCTCATTTAAATTCTCAGCTGAAAATCTGAATTTCAAGAAACTGATGGATTATAGCCTATTCTTAAAGCGGAACAAAAAACCCCAATAACAAACCATTTTTTGAAAGCTCTGCAAAACAAAAAAAAAAACAAAAAACAAACAAAACAAAACAAAAAAAAAAACAAGCAAACAAACAAACAAACAAAAAAAAACAAAAAAAAAAAACCAAATCCCCAAACCTCAAGCATGTTGCCCTCCAATGGATTACCATGTCTGGCCCAGCTTGTTCTTTTTAACTTGAAATACGTGAAATACAAGCATAGTCGCCCATAACTGATGCTTATTTAGTGAACTGATGCATGCACAGCCACAAGAGTACAAGCTAAAGTTCTGGGAAAGAGCAGGAAAACACAACACATTATATGCAGGCAGGGATTGAACTCTGTGTAACTTTTAGTGATGTTCAGGAGCTTTATTATTCACGATAATGATGTTGTAATTAGATTCTAAACCAAATAATTCATTAATAAGTGAAGAAAAACGTAACACTACACGTATGTTAATACTGCCTTTTTTTTTGTTTCAGTGGTACCACAACCCATACAGCAGCAGCAGCAATGCAGTTGCTACAGAATAAATGGATGCAATATTAAAATAGTTCTTGATACATTTTATTTCTAAAATCTGATCTGGGAAAAGTTAGCCACCACTATCTTAGCACTCAGAAAACTCAGAGATAAACGCAGAAAACACAGAGAAAACAGAGACTGTCCTGCTTATGAAGAGAAAGGTAAGAGGTGATCATCAGCCTGTTACTCTACATGGGACATTTTGCACCTTTAGCAGAATAAGCATCTCCTTTCCTTAGTAGGAAAAGACAAAGTATGCCCCAGGTACTAGAAACTTAAGCAGCATAACCTGATTTAGAATGGAATTGTAAACAGTGTTGATAACAAACAGTAACTTGCTCAGAAGGTAGTGGTGGTGGTGGGGTGTCTGTGTCAAGTAATGACAAAGAACAAAGCAACTGGTGCCTTCCAACAGGATCAGTGTAAGTTACAGATTTAGACCACTGCATGGACCTCGGGAGGCTCACCGCCTCTCGGGGCCTTCCAGCACTTTCCCCATGGAATTAGCAGGGGGCGAGGGAAGAGCGGGACACTGTTGTCAGACGCCTTGAAGTAGATGCGCTGCTGACATCAGGTCTCCTCAAATCACTGCAGCGAGATTTGGGGGCCGGAGCGAGAGGGCTCTCCGGAGGGGCTGTCAAACCAAACCGTTTTCAGCAGGAGGGCCGCGATCTCGTTGCTGGGGGAGCCTGCAGCTTGCCCGCCCCTCCATCCCCAGCCCCGCAGGCACTCACCGCCGGCAGGACGCGGTTACCTGTTTCTATGGAACCACTCTTCCCGCAGCAGCAGCAACCTCGCCTCAAGCCTAGCTACGGCCTCCATGCTCTCCCCCTCCTTCCCGCCCACTCGACGCCGCCACCATGGCAACGGGACCGTACCTCTCCGCGCGGGGGACGGAGTGTCGCTTCCCACCGTAGCCCTAACGGCGAAGAAAAGCGAGGCACTGGCGGCAACGAGAGCTCCGCGTAGCCGGACTGGAGCGGAAGCAGAGCCAAAGTAAGGTGCGCGGCAAGGGACACGGCGGCTGTGGGCACCAGGCCGGAGACGGAGAGGAGAGATGGTAGCGCCCGGCTTCCTCCCGGTGCAGCAGCTGCTTCCGGGCTCTCACCATGGGGGCCTGAGGAGCAGCGCTGGCCGCCTGCACCCTCCCCTACCGGCCCTCGCCCGCCAGCCCCAGACCTCACCGCCGGCCCCCGCCCCGGCCCAGTCTCTGCGAAGCGGCGCCAGCCTCCCCGGGGAGCGGCCAGGGGAGGCGCCGGGTTCATGTTCCGGGTCGCTGAACCTGCCTCGACCCGAGCTCAGGCGGCGAGAAAGAGCTGGTAAGCTCGGGCCCGGGGGACGCCCGGGAGACGCCCGCCGGACGGGGGAAGGAAGGGGACGCTTCTCCGCCGCCCCCTGCCCGCGTGTGGGGCCGCAGGGCTGGTGTTTGAGGGAAGGGATCGGAAGTACTGTCGCTGCGCACTGCCCGGCCGCTGCCGCTCTGCGCCCTCGCCGCTGCCCGTTAACGCGGGGGGGAGACGTTGGTGTTTTCCTCACCGGGTCAGAGGCGTTGGAGGCCGGGCAGGGGTGGTTCGCCGTGGTTATAAGTGAGCAATGTGCTGGAGGGAGGAACTTCCGCCTCCTTGCTAATAAAGGAGCAGCAGGTAAACGATGGATCAAAACTTGGCGAGTTTTGTCTGTGTGTTTGGGTTGCTCCGATCGATGTAGACCCTCTGAGGACTAAACCCTTTGCAGTGTATGCTGCAGAAACACCCAGTCAGGTGGTGTTGCTGCTCCGAAGCTATGTTGTTCCAAACCAGGAATCAACAAGTGTAGCTCTAGACAGTGAGCAAGGAAAAGATGGGGTGATGCTCCTGCGGTGGAGTTAACAGATTGACTGGTTTATGTAATTCATAGCATAGTGACCCCAGAGGCCATAGTGGTTTTATTGTGGAGCTGAGGAGATGCTGATTAACAGAACAGAAAAAGAGAGAAGTGAGTTTTGTTAACAGGCCATGGAGCTATAAAGACTGATAGTGGAGAGACTTGATGAAAACCAGGTGTCCCAAACGGCCAGCCAGGAAGCCTTCAATTTCCTTCATGAAATGTTGCCATCTTGTGCTTACATAGTATGGACCGATGTGTGTAACTTCTTGTCAAGTTCACTTTCCTTAATGGAAGTGGGGAGGAGCATTGTAGGGGTTTGTTTGTGGTTATTTCTTGAGTGTTGATAGTTTGAGGACTTGAGGCTTTGTTTAGAGGCTGTATTATCATACAGATACCTGCTGGTAGAGTTCCCACATCTGCAATAGATTTGTTTTTTAATATAAGTGGGTTTGTTTATTTTCTGGGGATGGGCAAGAAGAGGAAAAGAAAGCCTTAGTACTTCATTTTCTTACATAAGAAACTCCATTTTTTTTCCTGCACTTCTGCTGCTACTGCCACTTTTGTACTGTGGGTATTTGGTGCTGTGCTGCTTTATTTTTTGCTAAATAGGAAAGCTTTCAGAGAGGGATTTTGTTTGCCCAGCTGCTGTGTATTTGTTAGAAATATGCTAGTATTGCTTGGCATGCAAATTTGCCCAGCATAAGTGTAACTTTGCTTTTGTGGATGTAGTTCAGAACGCTTCAGAGAATGTGGTATTCTGTAGTGGTAGAAGTATTTTTATTTTAGTACTAATGCTGCATACAGTAGGCACATTGCAGAAGACATTCCAAACTTGTATCTGTACTCAGAGGAAGTTTTCATTGCATACTCAACCTGTCATTTGTCTTTAAATTTTACTGGTTTGTTTCCACATGAAATAATTTCATTCAGAGGATGCAGAAATAGTGTTCATCAGCACAAGATGTGGAAATTTGGCCTATTCTTCTCTCATTGTCATCAGACAGTATTAATTTTGCTTCTGCAATTACGCTGCCTGGCGCAATTCAGTGCAGAGAGAATTATTGAGGTCTTATCTATAGGACTGTTAGTTTAGAAGTTCTGAAGAAAGATCTGTTAAAAATCTGACTCCTCCTTAGGGCCCTGTCTTATACATCAGCTATTTCAGAAGCTGTCTGTTAAAGGAAACCCATTTGAGTGAGATACAGGAAAATATTTTATTTGATGTTTACTGCTTGGTGTAGACAGTTAAGAACTTGTGTTTTTTAAAAACATGAAGACCCTGAAGAAGTGTGTAGATTAAGGACAGCCCCAGAGTAAGTGTTCACTTTTGGTGATAAAACTCCTCTGAAGCTGAATGTTTTGAATTTATATATTGTGACAGTTTAGTAATAGTTTGCATTTGAGTTTGTACTGGGCACTTTGATTCTTTTGATAATGACATTGACGCTTTAACAGTTTGTGTGTTTCACCACCTTGAAGTTTAATGAAGTCATGCTTCTGCAAAGGGCAAGCATATCAAGAAATGGCAGCAATGGGATTGCAAGAATTGCTACCTCTATGAGAAACTGCTGCAAAACTCATTTCTAGCTGACCAATTCATTTGTGTTAGACCTTTAGTAAATGAGGTTCATGGCAGCCTCTTCCTGACTGTATACTATACCATTGCTCTGTACTGAACATGCTTTCACTGTTGAGTAGACCTGATAGTATTTATTGTTCTGCCTTCTTAGATAAGCAGCAGTTGTAGAAAAATCAAATTATTGCAACTTTGTCCCTGATTTTTAGGGGGATCAGTGGCATGATCAGTTAATAAAATTCCACCTATTCCTCAAAGTCCTCTTAGCCTTTACAGGAAGCACTGGGCAGGTTCCTCAGAAGTGGAAGACTAAGGGTTTTTTTGATAGCGCACTGTTATGCCCCTCAGCAATGGGTCGAAGGCTTTTGGGGCACTGTGTAGGTCTGTGTACCTGGTTGTCCAGTGCCTAAGGACATAAATACGTGTGGATGTGGAAATGGATGCTTTGTGTCCTCCTCTTGGTGATAGCTGTTTGATGACAGTCATCAATAAAGCAGAGGTCTCAAAAGTAGTGATTCTAAGGCTTTGTGAAAATAACTTCTGAGGTGGAGAAATGGGATTCAAATTAGTGCCTGTCAGAAGATAAAGATACACTGAATACAGACATGTTACAAGGCATCAGAGAATCTGTATGGGAAAAGATATGGGGAAGTCGGGTTTATAATCCCAATGTGCAAGGAACTACTTGGTTTTCTTCTTGTGCTCTTCACTTGTGAGCAGTGTGGATTGTGAAGGCAGCAAAGATCATGGCTCTTCTCGGAAGTGATGAGATACAGATGCAGCAGAACTTTAGCTGCAATAAACCCCATATGTATTTAGCAGGAAAAGGTTTAGAACTAGAAAGTAAATGTAAATGCAGCTCTTGGTTTAGTAAAAGATACTGCCTCTATACGAGTTGTCTGACTAAAGTAGCTTTCTTGTCGGTGGGTGTTTGTTAAATATTTCATGCGTAGTCAGCTCTGCATTTTTTCATGCTTTAGGTGGGAAGTGAACAAAAATGGTACTTGACTGTCACTAGAAAAGGAACTGCCCATTATTTTCATTAGGAGTTTCAATACTAATCATATTGAACACAAACTGCATGAACTGTTTTGGAGCAGGAGAAGACAGTTACACTGCTGCCTGCAACAATACTGTTAGGGTCTGTTCTGGTAAGGGTTAGAGGGGAAATGGGTCACCCTTTAAACTGCCTGAAAATTGCTTCATATAAATGTAAAGGTCAGTGTAGGCAAACTAGGTTTTCTTATAGTAAAGTAGAATCTTCTCCTAGTAAAGACATTGGAGTTTATTGCTAGCTGTGGGCTGTTGCTGTAAAAGCACTTTTATAGCCTTACGTGAGTCATGCTAAACTACAGCTCAATATTTTATGTACCTCAATATGTTGTTCTACATTCCTTATTAAAACCTTTGAAGTTGCTCATCTTACTGTATGCAATTGATACTTCCCAGTAATACCTTTAATGCTTCTTGTGGTTATTTTTCAAAAGCAAATATTTTTGTTACAGAAACATCTGCAGCAGTGATTTAAATGACTTCATAGGTTTGGAATACAAGCTGGTTGTAAACAATGGAGAAAGTTGCAAAAGTGAGTTTGATAAATAATGCTGAAATAGAAATACACTCCTGATTTTCGAGACAGGTTTCAGATTAACTGTTCTAGCTGTTGCTGTTGCCATTTTTTTTCTTCAATTATAGCAAGAGAAATGATTGATCCAGTTAAATTAATCGTAAGAGGTTTCTTGGCTATTCAGAAGGAGATTTAGTGTGGACCACTGGCATGTTGAAAATGCAATGTGAATCAAAAGCTGAAGTAGTATGTGTATTGTTTTCACAATCTATTACAAAAGAGTTTCCACTGTCCCAGCTGATCAAGTAATTTTCATAATCATTGTAAGGAAACATATGTTGAAGTAATTAAAATATTGATTTATCTGCTTTAAGAGGTAATGCAATTAGGATACAGTTATGTATACATACAGTTCAATCATGGCAGTCAGGTGAAGTTCCCGATGACTGGAAAAAGGGAAATATAACCCCATTTTCAGAAGGGGAAAATGGATGACCCAGGGAACTACAGACCAGTCAGTCTCACCTCTGTGCCTGGCAAAATCTTGGAGTAGATTCTCCTGGAAGGCATGCTAAGGCACATGAAAATCAACAAGGTGCTTGGTGACAGCCAGCATGGCTTCACTAAGGGGAAATCCTGCCTGACCAATTTGGTGGCCTTCTATGATGGGGCTACAGAGCTGATGGATAGGGGTAGAGCAGCTGACATCATCTACCTGGACTTGTGCAAAGGGTTAGAGACTGTCCTGCATGACATCCTTGTCTCTAAATTGGAGAGACATGAATTTGATGGATGGACCACTTGGTGGATAAAGAACTGGCTGGATGGCTGCACACAAAGAGTTGTGGTCAATGGCTCGATATCCAGCTGGAGACCAGTAATCAGTAGTGTCCCTTAGGGATCGGCGTTGGAACCAGTCTTGTTCAACATCTTTGTCAGTGACGTGGACAGTGGGATTGAGTGCGCCCTCAGCAAGTTTGCCGATGACACCAAGCTGTGTGGTTTGGTTGATCCGCTGGAGGGAAGGAATGCCATCCAGAAGGACCTTGACACACTTGTGAGGTGGGCTGATGCCAACCTCATGAAGTTTAACCATGCCAAGTGCAAGGTCCTACACCTGAGTCAGAGCAATCCCAGGCACAGCTACAGGTTGGGCAGAGCAGAGTTTCAGAGCAGCCCTGCGGAGAAGGACTTGGGGGTGTTGGTTGATGAGAAAATGAACATGAGCCAGCTGCAGTGTGCGCTTGCAGCCCAGAAAGCCAACCGTATCCTGGGCTGCATCAAAAGGAGCGTGACCAGCAGGTCGAAGGAGGCGATCCTGCCCTTCTGCTCTGCTCTTGTGAGACCTCACTTGGAGTATTGTGTGCAGTTCTGGTGTCCTCAACATGAAAGGATATGTTGGAACAGTCTCTGGAGAAGAGAAGGCTGCGTGGAGACCTCATAGCAGCCTTCCAGTATCTGAAGGGGGCCTATAGGGATGCTGGGGAGGGACTCTTCATTAGGGACTGGAGTGATAGGACAAGGGGTAATAAGTTAAAAGTTAAAGGTAAAGTTTAGATTGGATATAAGGAGGAAATTCTTTCCTGTGAGGGTGGTGAGGCACTGGAAGGGGTTGCCCAAGGATGTTGTGAATGCTCCATCGCTGGCGGTGTTCAAGGCCAGATTGGAAGAGCCTTGAGTAACATGGTTTGGTGTGAGGTGTCCCTGCCCATGGCAGGGAGGTTGGAACTAGATGATCTTAAGGTCCTTTCCAACCCTAGCTGTTCTATGATTTTATGTTATATATGAGACTATGGGTGTCAATTTTAGTGTGAACGAGGTTGCTGCCCTGTATAGATCTTAGTTCAGGAGCTGCAATGAAGAGACCTGATATTCACTAGGACAGATTAATTGCAGGAGTGCATAAAATTCAAAGTTCTTGTCTAATGGAAATTTAAGTGCTTTACTGCTCAGGACCTTTTAAGAATCATGTTATCTCATTACTTCAGGGTATTTACTCTCCTTGAGTTTCATCTTTGGTCTGGACTATCTGTATTGATGACATTTTGGGAGGATTTGAAGGCGAGTTTAGGTTAGATATATAAATCCAAGCTGGATAGTTTGTGTTTGATCTTGAAGTATTTCACAGAACTAAGGCAACTGTAGCCCCATACTTAGAGTGTTACCTGGAGTAAGCCTGTGTGTCCACTGTAGGAGCTACATTGATTTTAGTGATAGTTATCCATATGGATTAAGGATACTAAATTGAATGAATTAATCATAAACTGTGGTGTAAGCGATTAGTGTTCCTGTCTTCCCCTCCCTCTTACTTTGTGCTGCGGGAGATTATATATGCTAGTTCATATTCTGGCAAGTGAGCAGAAATCTGTTTGTTTAAAAAAACTAAATGTATGTTTAAGCCCACTAGTTGAGGTTTCGGTGTACCTCCACTTCTGTGACTTCACTGTCAGTGCAAAAGTCTGTGCCAGAAGGGCTGGGCAGGCAGCTGGGAGACTTGATGTCTCGTTAACCCAAATAAATGTACTAGAGTTTGTCTGTTCAAGCCTTACAGCTCCTATTATATTAGTGCTGCAGTATTGGAAAGCCCCTTAAATCTCAAGGGCATCTCATTTCTGATAAGAGCACTTGTGAGGATAGTTGTCTTCATAGATGTTTAACAATAAGGCTAAGGGGACTAGTTGTGCAGTTACAGCTACTGAAAAACATGGGTTAATATATCTAAGCATTGTGTGGGTTAATATATCTAAGCATTGTGTGGGTTAATATATCTAAGCATTGTGTGTAGAAACCCTATACAAATATAGCTGCACTTATATCTCCTGGTGGTTGAAATTCCTACTACACAATCAAAAAACTCAAGCAAAACCCTGACCAATGCCCCACACTCTGCAGACCTCTCTGCAGTAATTGAAACTTTGAAAACTTGAAGGAAGAATTAGTTTGAAATCACTGTTATGCCACATTGGTAAATGCCCCATCCCTGGCAATGTTCAAGGCCAGGTTGGATAGAGCCTTGGGTGACATGGTCTGGTGTGAGGTGCCCCTGTCCATGGCAGGGGGCTGGAAGTAGATGATCTTAAAGTCCTTTCCAACCCAAACCATTCTATGATTCTATGTCTCAAAGTAATTCCTTACTTAATTGCCTTCCAGTTTTTTCCTGACTTTTCAGAAAATCATCGCTTCATTTGGAATGCCTTTCCTCCTGTGTTGCTTCTCTTGCCTCTGAGAAGTACTTCTGTGTGATTATGGAGGTTTTGATCTTATGAACCAAATGGATTAAGGGTAAAACGTAGCATTTTTCCAGAGCTGTCTCAGCTCTTACTAGATACGATGATTGTGCTATACTAAGAGCCAAAGGGAATGTTAGGTTAATAGGGAGTAATAGGACTAGAGATTACAGCAGGATGGAGAAAGAGGTATGAGAAATAAATGCAAATGACACAGTAGTTTCAGGAATTCAGAATGAGCTTGTGTTTCTACCACTGTCTGTGCTTTTGGTGATCTGCAATTGGAAGGTTTACAGTAAGTTTTTCTGAATATCTTCAGGTAAGATATTTAACAATCAGCTTGGACTTCATCTTAAACATGCTCTTCATTTCCCCCAGTGATATTCAAAACTTGTGTAGTTTAAGGTAATGAGTGTCCATTCACCATTAAGTACCTTTAGCACTGGCATTTGTGATAAGTGAGAGAGGTAAACCTGTGTGCTACGTATTCAGATTTTCTCCACGTCTCCAATTCCTCTTCATCCATCAATTTCTGTTGTAAAATAAAGTGAACAGTCTTGCTTTTAAGCATCCTCTACATAATTTACTGAATGTCTTCCACTTTTATCAGTTGATGTAATGTAATAAAGAGGGTGAATGTTACTCCTTGCTTTACCTCAGTGAAAGGGGTCTTCTGATGCTTTGGTGTGAGAATCTGGTTGCTGTGTTCACAGAGGAGGTTCACAGCCTTCAGAGAATGATTAGAGTTCAGCAGTGATCTCTTAATGTTTTCTTTTTATAATTATGTTCATGTAATGCATGGGTGAACTTGCTGAAGCATTACAGGGTCAAAGTCATGCTAAATGCTAGTGAAATTTGAGGAGTAAAGAGCAAAAAAAGGATAAGGCCTTAAATCAGACACTGTGTGTTCGGTGATCCTTTTCCTTGCACAATCAGGTAATTTTGTCACGTAGGTGCCTGTATGTGATGGGAAACTTTGTATGTAATACTCTGGAATTCCCTCGAGCAGGGTATTGTTTCAACTTAATATCCCTCCACTGAATCAATATTTTAAAAGAAACAGATATCAGAATTAGTCACTATTAAAGAGTCATATATTATCAAAGAATTACTGTCTTAACTGCATTTTGGCGTTTAGGCAGCATTGAGACATAATTATTCTTAAAAATATTTTATCATAATGACAAATTTTAAAGAGAACTCCCAAATCTGCTGTCAAGGAAGAATATTATGTATCCCATTTTCCATTCACACATTTGAAATGTGCTCGCTACCTGCAGTTAGAGTGAATGGTCTTTGTTGATGCTCTTGCTGTGCAGAATCCCTAAAGACCATACAAATGTGATGAGGTGAATTGAAACCAAACAATAATAGTGAGGTCAAACACAAGCTGAGGTTACCTTCCCCCTATCTCCCCTTCTTTCAAGCCAGAAATGTGTATGGAATGCTATCTGAAAAAGGATGTATGCTGTTGTGTTGCAAGTTACGTAGGATTGGTCAGCAAGGTTTTGTCTCTCAGCAGAAAAACTAATCTTTGTAGGATGGCTATTTAGGACTACCTTACTGAAAGTGACTATAATGATTTTGGCAGGTAAAAGTGTTGCAGTTTATGCTTAACACTTCAGATTAATTTGATATTTTCTTGTGTGCTTTTTCCCTTGAAATGTGTAGGCATTTCAGTAGGACTATGGAGGAGCTGGTTCACGATCTAGTCTCAGCACTGGAAGAAAGTTCAGAGCAAGCACGAGGAGGTTTTGCTGATACTGGAGATCATTCTCGCAGCGTGTCTTGTCTTCTCAAGCGTCAGGCAAGGAAAAGGAGGGGACGCAAAAGGCGTTCATTTACCACCCATCATCCCTGGGAGACTGGCCACTGCTTAAGCGAAGGTTCTGATTCCAGTTTAGAGGAATCAAACAAAGACTACAGGGAGAATCATGCTAATAAGAAAGACCACAGTGACTCTGATGACCAGTTGTTGGTTGCTAAGCGCAGGCCTTCCTCAAACTTAAATAACATTAGAGGCAAAAGGCCTCTGTGGCATGAACCAGATTTAGCTGTCGACAGTTTAGGAAACAGAATTTTGCGCAGGAGAAGAAAGGTAAAACGGATGGCAATAGATCTGCCATCAGAAGTCTCTAATGCACTGACAATAACTCAACAGCAGGATAACAGCAGAGATCAAGAAATGGACAATAACAATAAATCATACCAACACCAAGAGTTCTCCAAGAACAAAGTGAAAAAAAGAAAAGTAGCAGCAGCTCGACAAGGACCAGAAGTCTTGGATGAAGGAGTAGTTATAGAAAGTGAAGAAGTGACCCAAGCAAATAAGGACAAAATGGAGTATGAAGAGCAAAAAGGCTCAGATGAGAACATGAGTGACAGGTTATTTTTTCTCTTCCTTTTTACAGAAACTTTGGATAATATTTACTTTTATTATTTGTTTCTCGTATTGGTAATCTTTGTATTTTTCTTGCATTCCAAAGGTAAAATGCTAGCATCAGTAGTATCTGTTTTAACAAATTACTCTTTAAGTGTACTATATTTCATACATATGAGTTGCTCTGGTTAAGGAATTCAGTGTAAAATAGTATGTCATGTAGCAGAGGAATAACCAAGGAAGCAGGTTCTTTAAATAATACATTCTAATTGTTTCAAGATTAAGAATGACAGAATATACAAATGATTAATATGTTTTCTCTGAGTATTTTAACTGATGACAGTTCTCGGACAAAAATTGGTTTTCCAATTTCTAGACTTTGGTGCCTTGATTGTTATCTCTATTCATCAGAAAGGCTGTCAGTGTTTAGTCACCATTTAGGCAGTATGTTCTTATGTGTCATGGGCATAAAAAGGCTGCAGGTTGCCAAGGGTATATATCATTTACAAAATGCAAAAACCAATTTACAGTTCAGAAACACCTGAGCTTACCATTAGAAAAATGGGGGAATGATGACCCTTTGGCAGTACATCTCATCCATCCATTCCAGACAGCAGTCATACTACAATGGTAATTGTTTCCAAAGTACTGTTTTGACAACGCAGGAAGGTGTAAGTCATTTTTCCACCTTACCTGCAGGGCCTGCTAAGCTTGATTATGTTTATTCCATGTGCCTGTTCTGAATGCAGAACTGTCAACAAGAAAGGCTCATATGAAAACAGATAATTTTGGTCAGTTGCTTGTTACAGTAGTGTCCCTGGCTGTTTGTAAGCGTTTTATCTATAAACTGTTAAGTGTTTTCCTTGCTGGAGAGATAGATTGAGATGCAGAGAGTATCCTGGGGTTTTGACCAGTGCAAACAGATTAATTACTGTCATAAGAGCAGTGCTGGTAAGCGACTAACTCCAGTTATTGTCAGAGAAGTTCTAAGCCTTACTATTACATCCTAGTGTTGTCTCTCACCTGCAAACAATAAGCTGAAAGCTGAATAAATCATGAGTCTTCAAGATTGTTTCTGATGCTTTAATTACTAGAGCAGAAGCAGTCCTTCAGGGCAGCTAATGTAACTTCAGGCATCTCCCTTGGATATACAAGATAGGACTATGTGGTGTCAGGAAGCCTTTAGAAAAGTTTCCTCTTATTTGACACTGGGAGTCTGTTCCCACCAAAAAGTTCCCGTAAAGACAGATGGCTAAGCATTTCCTTGGTGCTAGGAAGCATTGCATAGTTTATAATACATCCATAGCCCTGTCACAATGTATAAGATTTCTGCTATGCTACAAGAGTATCAGTTCAGGGCAAGTTTTAAGTGTATGCATGAAATTACTTTAAAGTAACTTAACACATTTGAAGTGCACATTAAAAATGCTAAATGGCACTTCTGCAGTCTTTTATCTGTGTGTGTTCAAACACCACAATAACTGTTTTTAAGTGCATCATTCAGGAATAGGAGTCTTCAAGCTCTTAAGATGTCAGCATCTAAATGATCCCAAAGGTGAATTACCACGAGGCTGGTTTTGAGCACTGGAAATGAGATTTTCATGGTCAGAGCCTGTCCTTTGCTCATTCTTCTTATCCTCAGTGCTTAGTTCTTGGCCACTTTCAGGCAGATTTGGCAATTCATGGAGTTCTGGATGATACTTAATTCCTCAGTCTGTGGCAATTGTTTAAGTGACTAAAGGAGGAAAAATCTCAATTACCCATTTTGAAAGAGCAGCAGTAAAGCTCAAGTGACACTCACCAGTCAGTGTGAGCACAGTGAGTGTCAGCTCTTGGGGACAGGCTTGGTTAGTAAACAAAGGTCACAATATAAAACTAATGTATGAGACAGTGTGCTATTAATAATAAGTAATAATAAAAGATATTTTTTCTTTGTTTCCACAAATGTATAAGTAAAGCTGTGAAAGCTTTTTGGAGAACAGAGCTGTCCCTTCCAAATTTTTGCTTGCATATACTGGTTTATGGGACTAAAAGAAATCTGTCTTTCTTGCTTTTTCCTGGAAGTCTCTTTTTAGGAGTGGAATTCTCATTACAAAGCAAAGTAATTAGCAGCATACAGTGCAAAAGTATATTAAAACTGGAAATAAATTCCATCATAACAGCATTCATGTACTTGAGTATTAGTATATTTCAGAGGTTTGGAATGTCTTCAGTGAAATGACTGCCATATAGAAATTCATTCTGCTGTAATCCCTGCCCTGTTTGACTCTGGTCTGAGGAGAATGAACACTGGCTGCCATAGATATGCCACTGTTATGGTTTGATTTTAAAAACAAACAAAACAAACCACAAAACCAAACAAACATCACCCACCCTCCGTAACCCCCTCTCCCCCCCCACCAAAAACAAAACAAAACCCCAACAAAACCCAAACAACCCAAACCCAAAATACTGTTCTGTGCAACTTTGGCAATTTCACTTGGTTCTGTTTTCATGAACTGGCTGCTCCTTCAGTAAAAATTATTGTGCAATTAAAATGTTATTTAAATACATATGTGAGATATTGTTTGTAACAATGTGTCTACAGCAAATGATCATTGATCATTAACTCTTTTCTTCAGGGTGACCTGTATTTTGATGTAATTGGCCACCTTTATTAACACCTTTTGTCTTTCTCCCCAAGCAGTATGTTGTTAAACCTTAAGCAATGTCTTTTCCAGAATATTTGCAAATGGTGTTCAGAAAGGTAATCTGATTTTCAGATGCTTATATTTCAAGTGCTGAAGGAAGGCTTAGGCTGCTTTTGATTGAGACTTTTCCTGGTTTATTGAGCAGTGGTGTTCCAGGATCAAGCTGAATTGCACAGCATAAGAAGGGAGCGGTGAGCATTTGATGGAAGCAGATAATAAAATGCATCGTGACTGCAACAAGGTACTGACACATCTGGCTTCCTGTCAGGGTACCATTAGATTCCCATGGTTTTATGTGCCAAAAATAATATGCTTTGTAGTTAATGGAACTGAGATATTTGCAGTTTGATTAAAAAAAAAAAAAAAGAGAAAATCCTATTTTCTTTCCGATCTCTGTTGGGCTTAAGTTCAATCTGAACACAGCCTTGTCTCCTTAAAATTTTACGACTGAAAGATCAATTGTTCTTTTGATCTGTGTTCTCTCTTTTTCTTATTACAGTGAATCCAGCAGTCTGAGCAGCAGTGATGCTGGTTTGTTTACCAATGATGAGGGAAGACAAGGTATTGAAACAATCTTTCCCTAACACCCCTCAAACCACATCTGTTGAAATTCTGTAAGCGTTGCAAGTTATTTCATAGGTTAATTACTCAATTTCAGTTGCTATTACTATTTTAATGGGTTGAAGTATAGCTTGCTTTCTGCTATGAATGTTACCAGAGAGTGTCCTGGATCCATGGCTTGGTTAAAAGGTGTCATGAGAAACAGTCTCTTTATTATAAACTTATTTATAACTTGAGCATCTCCAGAAGATCATCTATACTATGTTTTAATTCTGATTTTCAGACAGGATTTAGTAATAATAGTCCCAATCTCAAACTGTTACTGAGGTATCTCTTTTCTTCCAAATTGATATGGCAGGGTTTTATAGTTCTTTTTCATTCAGTAGTTTATTTGAAAGTACATTTCACACTACTTTTTCAGCAGTCTAAGACTGAAATGGAAAATGCATGCTGTGTAAAGTCTCTCCCTTCTGAAAACAATTTTCTTTGATGTAAAATGCAGAGAAGATTCAACATTTCGTGTTAGTGTGCATAATGTTCACACATGGTTTAAAACCGTTGAGGATGGAAGTATGAGATTTTGGGGTTTGGGGGGTTTTCAGCTTTAGTGTTTATTGCGATCTTTAAGTGCAATACATTTACCTGTATTATGCTAGCATCTTAGTGGCCAGCTCATGGACTAGGAACTCAGTCTTTGACAGTATACAAAAATGAGGTAAAAAATAATCTCTTCGGTGATTAAGACTTGCTTTTTTGTGTTGGCATTAAATTAATGGTGATGCAGATCATTTTCTCATGCTGTTTGCCACAGACTATGGTGTGTGCAAGAAAACAAATCCCAGCCCATTTCACAGATCTAGGTTAAGGGAATGTTCTTTTATTTTTTTCTTTTCTTTCTCTAATGTGTAATTCAGTTTGGGTTTTTTTTTGTCAATTTTTTGTTGGGTTTTTTTTTTTTTAGTCTTTTAACATTACAATTGGGAGATTTTTTTTCAGACTTGGAACACAGATGTTGCCTTCTTTGCTCAACAGTAACTTGTGCTACATAAACTGTAGCTCCCAGTCTGAGTATTTGCTTTGAGTTGTGCTAATGTAGCTAAATTTCAGAATTTAGGCTTTCTTTGAAAGTCTAAATCAATGTTTTAACTTCAGTATTCAATACTTTAAGTATATCAATATCAGACATTTTTAAAAGATTTGGTTTTACTTCCCTATATGAATTTATCTTTTGACTTGCAATATTTTAAAACATTTGTCCTGTATATTTGTACAATGTTACCTACCACATTTCATAATTCCATACATGTTTTGAGGTACCCTTCCAATATATTGGTTTCAATATTTTTGTCCCTAAATTACTTAAATCTTTGGATAATATGGTTGAAAATGTCTCAGCTACTTACAGTTTTTCCTATACATTTGATGGGAGGAGAAAAGGGGAAGGATCAGTGAACAATAGTGTGGTGTTATCTTTTTTGGTGTTAGTTCTTTACTATAGAGCTGTAATTCTTTATCTGTTTGATTTTTGAATCTTGATTCAGTTTGATTGTCATTTGCAAGCAGAAAGCATTAGACTTGAAGTAATATTCTGACATGCAAATGAAAAGAACAACAGTTAGTAAACTCAAGAAGGATATTGTCAGGACAAAACATGTTTTCGGTCTTTACTGTGAATGAATTATTTTGCGGGTATGATCAGAAGACCATTAGCTTCACACAGACATTTAGATTTGCTATTAGCATTGGTTTTCTGAAGGCTTTTCCTTAAAAGTACTATTGGAGATCCTACTGCAGGACCAAAGTTATTTATTTTTTAATAGTCATTATTCACCACCACCACCCCATAAAATGCTAGTAATTGTTATCTTTGTACTTCCCTTATGAGGATGAGGATAATTCATTTCTGTAAATTAATTTATAGCTGAACTGAGACACATACAAACTTTGGAAAGAATGAAGGAAGGAGGAAATAAATCTTATAAAAGCTGCGGGAAAGCCTAAGGAAGAGAAATGAAACTGAAGGAGGGCAGAATGGAAATGTATTAAGGGATGAACTGTCTGATTTTCTTGTCAGTTTTTTAAGGCTAAGCTCTGATTCCCATCTTCCCAGTGTTTCTCCTCCAGGATATATGTTCAGAACATCAGCATCTCGACCTCATTTGTAGTTCAAATTTTCTGCACTTCTGACTTCAGGTTTCTGCTAAGTCAAGTGGAGAACCAGAGATTGATTGATGCTGCCTGGTGAAATACTTGGTTTAAATGATGTGGCTGCCATCATTCGCAAGTTTGGATAGCAGAGGACAAGAGGATCCTGTTCTCCAGGGCAACATTTGTTCATTTGGTGCCTCTGAGATTAAGAAGCAGACCTCTTTTGTTGCAGACAAATGCTCTTTATAAAACCCTACTTAATTCCCAAAGCATATTCATCCTATGGGATAGACTTAGTAAAAGGAAAGTGACCTAAAGCAGCAATTTCTTTGAGCAGTCAGTTAAATAGTTGACTATTTAGCACTGAACTTTGGAGTTCCTGACCTTGCAACTTCTAATATTTCCCAAAATTCTTTCAGAAAGCAAATAGAAATAAATCCCATCACAGTAACTGTGCTCTTCTGTGTACAAACTCTCAGAAAAGTTTCAACTTCTCTAGTTTGAGTCAAAAAAAGTAGGTGTTGTTGCAATTGGGAGTAGTAGTGGGTTAACTGCTAGATGGATTTTAATTGCCATCAGTTGCTGTTATAGAAGAAAATGGTTGAGACTTGAAAATCCTGTGTTCAACTCTTAATATGTGTTGTGCCATCTAACAATTTTTAAAAGCCTTTTCCAGCCTGCCTCTGTTCCAGTCTCATAGTTTTCTTGTTTGATTTGGTTTGTTCCTATGAAGTCCTCTTCCGAGGATAGTCATGCTTGTCCTCCTTTCTCAGTTCTCCAGATGCTTACATTAGGTCATGTGAGAGAATGAAAGCAGCTTTCTTGCTGTGCTCTGTTCCACTGTCCTGTTACCTTCTGGCAGAAGTAATTGGTACTCCATGTCTTGCAGTCCCAAAGTGGCAAATGCTTTTTGTCTGTGAAACATTGCATACCCTGCACAGTAGGGCAACAAAAGGTTCAAGATCATGGTAGATGCTCAGTGCAGGTACAGTCCGAGAAAAAGATCTGCTGAACTATTAATAAACCTCAAGGGACCTCTTATGCATTGTATTTGTTTGGTTTTTTTTTTTTGAGTTTTGTACATTGATCAGCTTTGGGGAAAGATTTAATATAGGTAGCAAAACCCCCAAATCCTATGCCTTAAGCCCTTGTTTGTGGAGGTGGTAATTTAACCCCAGTTGGCAACTCAGTACTACACAGCTGCTTGCTCACCCCCAGGGGGATGGGAGGAGAGTCAGAAAAAGGTAAAACACATTGCTTGAGAAAAGAACAGTTCAGTAATTGAAATAAAGTAAAATATTACAGTGATAGGAAAAAGAGGGGAAGAAAATTCAAGTGATGCACAACACAATTGTTCACCACCCACTGACCAATGCCCAGCTTGAGCAGTGATCCTTCCCTTTTGGGTTACTCCCCCCAGTTTATATATTGGGCATGGTGTGCTGTGGTATGGAATAACCCTTTGGAACCTCCTCACTGGCAGAGCAGGAGAGACTAAGAACTCCTTGACTGGGTAAGAGCTACTTAAGAACAACTAAAACATTGATGTGTTATGAGCATTATTCTGAGATTAAAGCTAAAAAACAACTCTGCAGCAGCTGCTACAAAAAAAATTAACTGTATCCCAGCTGAAAGCAGAACACAAAGTAATTGAAAGAACTGAACAGTGGCTGAAGCTTACGTATTGCAAATCCTTATGACTTTTCTTTTTCTTCCTACTTTTTCCTTTGCTCCCTATAGCATTTTCATAAATGGCTGTTTTGCAATTATAAAAACTTTAATGATAAGCAGTGTTACGCCTAGTGTAGAAAACTCTAAGAGTTTTGAAACAAAAGGTCTAATCTTACATTGCAACATAAAATAGAAGTCTTACATAGACTTAGCTAGTAGGATCGCGTGTGATTTCAAGGCATTTCGCAGGTCCACTTTACAAAGGCACTTTAAGTTGAAAGCACTGTGTAAGTTAAGCTTTCAGCACAATGTTAACAGGACGGTAACCTTATCCAAACACTAGTTGATATTGCTGGGTTTTAGGGAAAAAAAGCCAAATTGCAAATATATTCTTTAATGAATTTTATGTTGTGGGTATGGCAAAGAAAACATACTCTGTATTCCTATTCCACCTACACTTACAAGTACACTTGGGGAAATTCGAAGTTGACTTAAGACCTCCTAAATCATGATGCGTAGCACTTGAAATGTCCTTTAATATCTAAGCAAGTAGGAAGGAAGATTAATATTAATCAAGTGTTAAACAATTAAAACTGGAGAAGTCAGGGTTCTGCTGTGGATGTGGCAGCTCTTCATTATTTTATGATTAAACGTATATTCATTACTGTGTCTTTAATGAAGATGACCCACTACTGATTCTGTATATAAGAATGCCATCCTTTTATCTTCTCTGCAGAGGAAGCAATTTGGACCTTGTATAGTAACTTGGTAACTGCAGGTGTCAGAGTACACTTGGGTGGCTGTCCTACTCAGGAGCAGGCCTTCATGTGCAGTTTTCAAGCTTGAGTCAGAAGTAGCTGCTTAAACTGGATGGTGTCAAAAGTGTCCTGTTACCCTTTTGCCAAGGTAGCTCTGCAGAGCGCAGAGAGCAAGATGCAGTGTGCCTCTTTTGATGAGCAGCTTAATCTTCTGCTTTCCTGAAATTCCTTGTATTAGTAAGTCTTTGCATGTCTCCAAATGATTATTACAGCCATTAACAGTGAGGGTTTTTACCTGGAAAGAGGAACACTGGAAATGTGACTAGCATCCTAGGGTGTTTACAGGCCATGTGCTGTCACTCTTTGTGTGCAAGCTGATGGAAGACGGACCAGCACAGTATCAAGTGGTATTTCTAGGGCCCT